AATCTCATGATCTTTTTAATTTATTTTTGGAGCCAACGCGTATTGATAAATCTAGTGCAACATGTATAGATAACATTTTTACAAATGTTAAGCCGTTCAATAAGTGTGTAATTCAAAAATTGAGCTCTGATCACTGTGGACAATTAGTTTCGTTACCTTATGTTCACCAAAAGCAAGCAGATAAAGAAGGTGAATTTGTTCCAGTAAATGTTCGTCGCCTGGAGAAGTTAACAAAAACTTCCATCACTTTCAAAACATTATTATATCGAACATTATTTAAGATTATTTGCAATGAATTTGATAATACTTTTACTTCTAAAACATTCTCCTTGAAATAGCGCAAGGCATTTAATGAATGGGTGACAGTGGGAGTCCATAAGAGTAGACAAAGGTTATATGAACTATACAATGAAAGGTCATATAATCCTAGCATCGCATTTAGGGAATATGTAAAAAATTATTCCAAAATATTTAAAAGAGTGTGCTCCATAGCCAAGTCTTTGTATTTGAGCAATAAAGACAGCTTCAATAAAGGAGTGTCTCAGTAAGAGTGCACTTTTTCATTTTAACAAGTATTTTATACAGTTTTTTTTGGGATTTTTTTATAATTTTCTACTTTTGCAAGAGATTGGCTAATTGATCAGGAATTGTTTCGGGCTCATTCGCATAAACCCGAGATTTCACAAAACCCCAAATAAAAAAATCGCACGGCGTTAAATCGCACGATCTTGGTGGCCAGTTGACATCAGAGTTTCGTGAGATAATGTGTTCTGGAAATCGTTGCTGCAATAAGTCGATTGTTTCATGCGCGGTGTGGCAGGTTGCGCCGTCCTGCTGAAACCACATGTTGTCCAGATCCATGCCGTTCAGTTGAGGCCACAAGAAGTCCGTTATCATATTCCTGTAACGAATGCCGTTCACAGTCACTGCAATTTCGGCCTCATTTTCAAAAAAGTAAGGTCCAATCACGCCGCCTGACCAAAATCCGCACCAGACAGTTACTCGTTGTGGGTGCATTTGTTTCTCATGGATTGCATGAGGATTTTCTGAGTCCCAAATTTGACAATTTTGTGTATTCACGAAGCCATCCATATGGAAATGCGCTTCATCGGAGAAAATGACATTTTTCCGAAAAATTGGTATCGACTTCACTTTGCTCCATTGCCCATTGAACGAATTGCCGGCGCTTTCCGTGGTCTGCTGGTTTGAGCTCCTGAGTTAACTGAATCTTGTACGCATGAAGGTGAGGTCTTTAGTCAAAATTCGCTGCGTAGTGCTTCGTGAAATTTGAAGTTGTTGAGAACGATGTCGAATTGATGTTTTCGGGTTTTCGGCAAAACTTTTGTTTACAGCAGCAATGTTTTCAAGAGACCGACCGGTACGTTGACGCAAAGGATTCTTATTATCCATAATTGACCCAGTTTCTTCAAATTTTTTAACCACTCTTCGAATGGTTGACACATTAGGTGCACTTTCTCGGCTGAAAATTTGGCGAAGTTGAGTTCAGCGTAACTTTCCCCATTTTTGTAATGAGTTTTCACAATTATAAGTGCGTTGTTCTTTCGAAAACCTCTCCATTTTTAATATGGGAATAAACAGAGATGATAGCTGTCAAATTTCAGACTTGCTACTTGCATGAAAAAAAATATTCCAATTTTAAAAAGTGCACTCTTACTGAGACACCCGATAGTATAATTAATAGTGAAACTGGTAAGGTCAACTCTCGCAATTCAAACTACAAGTTAAGTTTCAACAATATTTTACTGATATTCAGATCTTAAACAACTGTCACTGAATTCTTCTCCTGCCGTCGACGAATCATTACTTAAATAAAATGTAAATGCGTGTACAATGAATTTTACATTTCATAAAGTATCATCAAAATATATTTTAAGACTATTGGTATTAAGAAAACCGCAGATTGGTGGGGGATTTCCGTTAAAGTTTTGGGTCTATAATAGATACAATCGCACCTCAACTATCTATTATTTTTAATACTAGTATCGAATCTGGTGTGTTTTCTGATTTAATGAAGCATCCTATAAAAAAAGCATAGTAAAGTAATACCTTTATTTAAATCTGGTAGTACATTAGACCCCGCTAATTTCAGACCTATTTCTGTACTGCCAACACTTAGTAAAATTCGGTTTTACAGGGGGTCGCTCGACAACTGATGCTGGTGTTGAGCTAATTAAATATATCTTCAATGCATGGGACAATTCACAGGTATGCTTTGGGTATATTCTGTGACCTATCCAAAGCCTTCGATTGTGTTCACCATGAAACGTTAATCAGGAAACTTCAACACTAAGGTGTAAGAAGTTATGCTCTTAAATTATTTCATATTTAAGTAACAGAACGCAAAAAATGTCATTAATAGTATAAGTTCTTCCGGGTCGATTGTACATATGGGCGTGCCTCAGGGCTCAATTCTCGGCCTCTTTCTTTTTCTTGTATATATTAATGACTTACCTTACATAGTGGGGGATAACCATGATATAAAGTATTGTTTGGTGATGATACTTCATTAATTCTTAAATTAAAACGACAGTTATTAAATGACTACGAAATAACTAATGCTATAGCTAAGTTAGTCAATTGGTTTAATGTTAATTATTTGCATTTAAATGGAACTAAAACTAAATGTATGAAATACGTAACTCTGAATGTTAAACATCTTAATACTAATGTAATTTTAAATGGGGTCTTGTTGATACCACCATTTTCCTTGGAATCACACTAGACCGAAAGCTTCAATGGCTCCCCCATATATAAAAACTAGCTAGCAGACTTAGTTCTGCAGCATATGCTGTAAAAAATATTAGAACTCTTATCAGTTTTGAAACAGCTAGAATAGTTTAGCTATTTCCATAGAATTATGTCGTATGATGGGGACACGCGACTAACACTGAAACTATATTCGTTTTTTACAGAAGAGGGCCATTAGAGCAATATGTGATTTAAAACCAAAAGACCAAAAACCAAGACCGCTCAGATAAAAATTTAAGGAAATTAATAAATTAACTCTGATCTCTCAATACATTTATGAAAATGTAATGTAGGTACGTATACAAAAATAAAAGTAGTTTCGCAAAAATAAGTAATATTCATTCTGTAAATACCGGGAACATACACAAGCTAGTACCAGTTACTCGAGTTCACCGAGTCAGTAATTCATTCTTGGGGCGATGTATACGCTTTTACAACAAAATCTCAGAAAAAATGCAAAATTTGATATGCACAAAGTCCAAAAACTTTATTAAACTGGGTTTGTATAAAAAGGGATATTATAGTATTAAGGAATTTATGCATAATAATAACCCCTGGGAAGGGTGATCGCTACCAAGCTATTTCTAATTTGATTTGTGTTGTTAATTGTAACGTATATGATTGTAACGTATTATTTGAAAAAAAATTGTCGCGCTTGGTTTCTTGCTGGTTCTTCCCAGAACAGAGTTTTTTTTGCGAACCAGTGGTAAATGAATAAAGCGACTTTTTTAATAAGTATTGTTTATAATTTATATTGAATAAAAAAGTTTGGTCTCCGATCTACGCAGAACGATCTTACAGTAAACGTCGGGAATTTAAAAATAAATTAAAAATAAGTTAATTAAACTTGATAAAATACGCATAAGTGGTTTTATTCAATAATTTCATTAATACTATTTTTATGTTTTCGCTATTTATTTTATTCTTGCAGAAAATACTACATTTAGTATAAAAAATTTGGCCTATGCCTAGTCCTACCTTATAATGTAGCAATAAATTCTTCAGTTTCCTCAACTTAAGTCAGGTGTTAGTCATTATTCATTACTATTCCTTCAGTGCTAGTCATTAGTTATTAGACTTACCTCAAAACAAACCTATTCACTCTTACTTTGAAGACTGACAAGTTTTTCACTTCCCATACGCATTACGATTACGAACGACTAAGGAAACCGTTCTAATTCGTGGTATGTCGACAACAAAGTGGGTGGAGACCAGCGGAGCGTCAGATAGTCCGATGAAGGAACGGAGGGGGAGAAATTAAGTCGTTTAGTTTATGCGCACGCTCTCCGAAATGTATTTGTTAAACACCGAAAGGTTGAAAGGACGCTTATTTTGAGCAGAGGAGTATCTGTCCAAAATAGACGTTCCCTATAGCCTATAGTCCTTCGTCGTTAACAATCTAAATTATAATTTTGGTTACTAATGATACCACCCTGAAAAGGTAAAGATGACCTTTCATACAAAGGAAGTTAAGGTAATTTTGTTCTTTATCCTTGACACCAGAATATTTCAAAAACTGCGTAAAACATCTTCACATTACTATTATTTAACTTAGTGCTGCTATGTTTCATATGGTGAGTGTAAAGATCCGGAGACCCTTTTTTACTGGAAACGAGGCATTCCATCCTAGTCCTCAGGTGTGACAACGCATCTGCGTTTTGTTTCTTAGTCGAGGATAGATATCTATCGGGCACAGCATCCACTTACCATCAGGGGGACTGTGTGCTCGTTGGTCACCCTTATTCTATAAAAAAAGATAAATAACCATATATTGTTTATAGATATTTGCTGCTACGTCAGGTGCGACGTAGATTTTGAAGTTAAGTAAAAAGCCTTTGTTCGTGCCACTGCTGGGCTCAGGCCTCGTCTCATTTAGGATTTTGAAAACTGAGATGTATTTTTTATAGAAGTAAATGTGATAAAAAAAACCACTGACCACCTGATGGCTAGAAAAAGATGGAAGGACTAGATGGTCCTTGGACGTCGGTAGCCAACTTCAAACATAGTTTGCATAGATGCAATACCTCACACACTGTAAATTATACTGACCTCACTCTCACTCTCTATACCTTTCAAACTGGAACACAAAAGTGCAGGAACTGCTATTTGGTACCTACCCAGGCGCACTTCTAAGTATATGAGGAGTCTTACTATCTATTATAAACAACTGTTATAGTATTTAAGCATTGAATATAAGATTTCATTTTAAAAAGCCTCACTTCTCTTTGTAGCATCACTGGGCGAGATGGGTGGCAGCGGTACCAGCTCGTCCTCATCGCATATGTCGCCGGGATGGCAGGTCAACGACCTAGACCTCGATCTGCCCGGTGAACTGTCCATGAAGTAAGTTGCTTTTTTTCACATTATGTTACTTTTGCTTTTTAAAAGACAAAAATAGATAATAGGAAATTGTATCATGAACTGTGAAAAGGAAGAAACAGACCTACATCCGACCGTTTTGGATGGTAAAATCAATAGATGGGTTTGAATCCAGTAGGGATCGTAAACACCTGGCTCGAAGGACTGTGATAAGATTATAGCCTAGATATAGATATTATTAAATTTGCATATTTATACAAAAGTTAAAAGAACGGTGGCATGAAAGTTCCATTAAACTTTAACAAAGACTTTTTTTTTCACTCTATAATGACAGACCTCTTTGTTTACTTCGACAGAAAGCAGCTGCTGTTTTAGTATGCAAAATTGTAAATGTACAGGTTGTACATTAAAAGCAAAAATAACTTTAAACCTTTATACTTCCTACTCCTGAGCACAGGTCACTTGGATCAGGAGACAGTTTTCGGGCATGGCAGTGTCCACTGCGCTGCCCCAATGCGAAAAATTTACTGATTCACATATCTTCGAAATATTTTTTTTCAGGGTTCCTCGCGATATTTTCCTTTACAGCCGTAAACTTTTTAAATCACCACTTTAAATTGCAATGAACGATTTGCCGGCGGAAATCAGAAACGGGTTGCTAGCGTACCGTTAGTTAGTTATTCAATTCATACCTACTTTTGATTACACTATTGGTTTTTTTTCGCACTATAGAGAAATTTCTTCAATATTTTGGTTGATAAAACGCTTAAACAAACACAGCAGTATAAGACCTATCACTTCTTAAAACTGCAGGTTCTTTAGAGCATTTGTCTAGTCATACTACCTAATCGTAATCTTATACATAACTACATACTAAAAGTATATCAAAATTGCAGATCATGAGTATTGATACATTTCAGGAGTATTGGGGTTACAAGACAATAAATAAGCTTAGAAACATTTTTTAAACATCGAAAGTAATATTAAGAAGTAAACAGAATTCACATATTAAACTGGTATCGCTGTATCTGATCGAAATACCTATTAATTGGTAAAAGCATTTTGGTTTGAAAAATCACGTGTAATTTTTTTTTATTATACTCGGTTTGTGAAACTCGCTGCGAGTACAGTCAGGTTGACAATAATTTATGGTCTGACACAATGAAAATAGTTTCATTGGTAGATTGTTTAAATAAAATAATAATAAATTAGTACTTATGGTCTTAAATTTATGAATTATAATATGAAAAAAATAAAAAATAGCAAATCAAATGTTACTTGAATTATATATTTGTTCCGGTTCCTATTTTTATTTACTGTTGCCGTGTAGTGGCGGTTGAGAATATCCACTACCCCATATCTTCCCGTGGGTGTCGTAAGAAGCGACAGAGAGAGACAGGCAGGAGATGGGCAGCAGCATCTTCCTGATAACTACGATAATATAATAAAAACTGCGCTTGCCAACCCGCTCGCCAAGCGTGGCAACTATGGCAAACATCCCCCCTGAGCCATCCCCCCATGAGCAACGACACAAAGAAACGGCCACCAGTACCCGGCGGCCCCGCTATTCCTGGCTACGGGGCGACCATGGTAACGGCGGGGCAGGGGGTGCTAAGAATCTCCGGTGGTTGTTCGGTTGCCACCTACGAGGACTCGACCTGGCAACATATAATGCACGCACCCTGAGGACTGACGATAAGATACTAGAGCTGGAAGAAGAGGTAGACAAGTTGCGCTGACATATTACAGGATTATTTATATATATAACAACTTGTTCTATCACCGGGAAGGCGACCATCTGTCTCAAGGAGGTGTCGGATTTATCGTCCACAAGTCTCTCGTCAACAGCGTTGCAAAGATTGAGAGTGTGTCGACGGGAGTCGCGTACCTGATACTCAGAATCACTAAACGGTATTCGTTGAAGGTCGTACAGGCTTACGCACCAACCTCGGCACATCCCGATGAGGAGGTGGAGGAAATGTATGAGGATATCTCTAGAGCCATGCATTCCTCCAAACCCACTATACGGTGTTGATGGGAGACTTAAACGCAAAACTAGGCACAAGAGAAAGCGGTGAGCTGAAGTTAGGGGTAGACGGAACCCTAGAGGCCAGCAGCTGGCCGACTTTATGGAGAAAGAGGGACTCTTTATGATTAACTCTTTCTTCCAGAAGCGGCCCCACAGGAAGTGGACCTGGTCGAGCCCCGACGGTTCGACAAAAAATGAGATTGACTTCATTATGACGACCAGACGCCAATTGTTCTGTGATGTCTCAGTGATCGCGAGGGTGAAAACTGGCAGCGATCACCGAATGGTTAGAGGCAGCACTGAACTTAAACGTTAAGTTGAAGAGGTCTCGTCTAATGAAGTCAACGCTCCCCCTCGTGCGCTAATCCAGGGTCCATTCAGCTCGAATTAAAAAAACCGTTTTTAGTGCCTAGAAGACTGCAGTACAATGGACGATATGAATGACAAGCTCGTGGAAACTGTCCCGGTCGGTTATGCGGTCGGAGCTAAGTTCTGCAAGACCCGCCGCAGAAGAACACAAAAACTCTCCGATTACACTCTTTAATCTCATGGATGTTAGACCGGAGATGAAGCTGCAGTCGTCAGCAGATTTGACAGCATACAGGCAACTGAACAGACAGATTACCAAATGCATGCGGCAGGACTTATGTAACTTCAATACAGCTCGTATTGACGAAGCGATTGAGCGGAACCAGGGCTCCAAAGTCTTTGCCAGAGATCTGTTTGCCAGAAATAGTCAACTGTAAAAGCTGAAGACTGAGTGTGGCAGCATCGTTTCCGCGACACCTGAGATTTTGGATGAGATTGAGAGGTTCTATAGGCAACTGTACACATCGTCGTTGGAGCCACACGCAAGTGTGAGTATCCAAGAGCAAGTCCTGTCCTACACTATTCCGATGATATCCCGGGTGAGATTAAAATGGCTCTTCAGCACCTTAAAAACGGCAAGTCCCTGGGCGAGGATGGAATTACAGCGGAGCTTCTGAAAGCAGGTGGAAAACCGGTACTTGATGTCCTTCAGAAGCTCTTTAATTCCGTCCTCCATGGAGGCACTACTCCCAAGGCGTGGAGCAGAAGTGCGGTGGTCTTGTTCTTCAAGAAAGGCGACAACGCTCTCTTGAAGAACTACAGACCGATATCCCTTCTGAGCCGCGTCTACGTGCTGTTACGAATCGTCTCGCACGCAGACTCGACGACTTCCAGTCTCCCGAACAAGCCGGTTTCCAAAAAGGCTTTAGCACCATAGACCACTGTTACGGCCCTGAGTTACCCAGACAAAAGTCGACCGGACTAGGGTCCACAGTAATCAACTCGCGTGTAACTAGAGGGTCGGGCCCAAAATGGCCATGGATAACGATTCCAAAAACGGTTGACAAAGAAGCAAGCACCACTTACCGATTGGCGAAGGTAGACCCCAACCGGCGCGGCTTCAGCCCCCAAAGATTCCTGCCGACTGGGGCGCTTGATGTGCGCGTGCGGCCCAGCAAGCCCCCGCCTCCCGCGCAACGCTAACCATTTCCTCACCCCGTGAGTCGTAATATTTCGAGTATAATCGTGCGTGAACAACCACATACATACCTTTCGGAAAATTGTACAGAAGTCCGAAGAGCACAATCTGCCACTTTGCCTGGCGTATGTAGACTATGAGAAAGTTTTTGATTCCGTCGAAATTTAGACGGTCATTCGGACAGTCTCTTCAGCGGTGCCAAGTTGACTGTCGGTATATCGAAGTGCTGAAGTGCTTGTACAGTAGGGCTACGATGGCTATCCGAGTTTAGAACCATAGTACGAAACCTATTCAACTGCAGAGAGGTGCAAGGAAGGATAACGTTATATCCCCGAAACTCACGCTGCATTGGAAGACGTTTTCAAGCTAATGGACTGGAAAGGATACGGTATTAATATCAATGACGACGATATAGTCGTTATGGCAGAATCGCTGGAGGACCTAAGCGCTATGCTCAACGACCTCAACAGTGCCTCCCAACGGATAGGTCTTAAGATGAAAATGGACAAAACAAAGATCATGTTTAATGTCCATGTCACATCTACCTAAAGCCCGTAGTTGTTGAGAGCACTAAGCTCGAAGTCGTTGACGAGTACGTTTACCTGGGAAAAATAGTTCGACTAGGTAAGTCCAACTTCGACCGAGAGGTCAATCGACGGATTCACACTCGGCTGGGCAGCGTTCGAGAAATTACGACACATATTCTCGTCGGGTTCATACCTCAAAACCTGAAAACTAGATTGTACAACCAGTGCGTGTTGGCAGTGATGATCTATGGAACTGAGACGTGTTCCTTCACTGCTGGCCGTATGAGAACGCTCAGCGAGGTATGGGGATCCTCCCCATACCTCGCTGAGCGTTCAGTTACGCTCGGGGTTTCTCTGCGTGATAAACTTAGAAATGAGGATATCCGCAGTAGAACCAAAGTGACCGACATAGCCCAACGGATTAGAAAGCTGAAGTGGCAATGGGCCGGCCATATAGCTCGAAGAACCGACAACCGTTGGGGAAAAAAGGTTCTCGAGTGGCAGCCTCGTATCGGTAGGCGAAGTGTAGGGCGACCCCCATAGATGGAGTGACGACCTGGTAAGACATGCAGGAAGTCGATGGATGCAGGTGGCTCCAGGACCGTTCTTTGTGGCATTACTTGGGGGAGGCCTATGTTCAGCAGTGGACTTGTGAAGGGCTGTATTGATGATAATGATGATTTTTAATACACCTTGACTGACTCGTTGGTCTAGTGGTTGTAGGTGCGACTACTGATCATAAGGTCCCGGGTTCGTATTCCGGCTTGGACTAAAATGTATCATTTGGTTTTTCTGTCAAACAAATCTCAGTAAAAGTTCAGAGTTAGTACACGTAACTTGGCGGTAATTTATACCCTCGTGTCTCGGAAAGCCCATAAAGCCGTTGATCCTGCACCTGACTCTCTGGTCGTGTCAAATTACCGTCCCATCGGACTTCATAGGATTCATGCACTATCCTCATTTGCGCCGATGGCTAATCTTTGTTGAGGCTGATATTGACGTTAATAATATTGAATACGTCCAAGGATAATATCATATAGACAGTTCAAGAATATATTTTGTTTAACCAGTGAGGCGCTGCTATCGCTGCCCTCGCTGTCGGTGTTCAAGCAAGAGGCGCCATCGCCGACGGGGGCCGTGCTGTCTCCGCCGCGCCGCGCTTGGCCCTGTACGCGACGCCTGGATGAACGACAGGTGAGAGACCACAAACACTTCTATGTTTACTTCTAAACTGGCACACAAAAACTGTGGCATAGCTGTGAATCGCCGGCCGCGGGCATATACGAAATAAAGTTACACACTGTTACTTATACTTCAACTCACATTAACAAAGTGTGCACATAAACAAAGACAACGTTTTCTTAGTCATAAAAATCTGTGTTAGGCTGACGTTAACAACGCGGTTTACAAAACAAAGAACTAGTCTTCTCGCTCGCTCGCAGTCGACTAAAGGAGTAATGAATAATTTACCGTAACTTAAGCATAGTTCGGACTAGGCTAGTAATTTAGTAGAGTAGCCAGTAATTTAGTGGCTAAATGTGTGCGAAACACAAAAAATTATTCAAGTCATGTGAATTATTAAGTCTAGTTGATCCATTTTACTCTATTTTTATCGGGCGAGTAACACCTCCCACCACGCGTCCGTGCTCACTGGTTCACCGGCTAAACAAGTCCGAATCTGTTGATTAGTCGAGTAAATTAGTCGTTTCGCTGAAGCGGAGATACAACTTTAAAATTTGTTTCCAAATATGTAGAACATCAATGCTTGTGGACTATTAAGTCTCCGCATTATAACAAATGAAACAATCCACATACTTGGATTTAGAAAATACGATGAATATACCTGGATTTGTTGGAAGGGGAAATTAAATTGAAATTCATCAGGTTGGTGCATAATTTTATTATTATAAGTATTTCAAAAGTATATTTATTAGTGTTATACAATAAGCTCTTAATTATTATCACTACCTATTGTTTTTAGAAGTAGTTTTACCTAACGAGATCCTTTCCTTTTTAGATCGACCTACTCGCAGGAGTTAAAAAAATAAAGGACTTTTTAAAATTTCAGGCGCAGGGACTGACACGATTTATATTCCTTCAGTAAAATGGTTCAGTTTATTGGATGCATCCACACAACTTTTGGACATTCTCAAACTATCGAAGTATTCTTTGGGATCTTCTTATCTTCACGCACAATCCCTAACGGGGTAGCCAGAGAAAACAGATCGCCAAGTGTCACGGTCCTTACATACCTCTTTCGTTCTTTCAGGTTCATTAACTTCTTCATACATGCACGTCTAGGTATCCGAGTACTCTTGACTTCCCCTCTTCGAGCAATTTGCTCACATGGTCTTCGAAAGTTAGTCTCGGTCTACTTCGACACCTTTTAATATTTACTTTCGCTCTATATATTTTCTTCACCATTCGGTCTTCACTCATTCGCTCAACGTGCCCAAACCATTGGAGTACGCCCCTATCAATTTTTGTGATAAGGTCATCTTTCAATCCTGCCATATTGCGAATCTCTTCGTTTCGCTTTCGATCGGCTATGGTAACGCCACACATTTTACGAAGAGATCGCATTTCCACTGCATTCAACTTGCTTTTATGCTTCTTCTGGCATACCCAGGTTTCGCTGCCATATAACAAAGTCGGTACCAACACTGCGTTATGTATTGCAAGGCGTGCACTCTTCGCCACGCCTTGCCTTTTGACTAATGCATTCAGGGCACCATTGACTTTGTTTCCGGCAGCGACGCGCCTATCCACATCTAAATCACATCTTCCATCCCGGCTGAAAGCACTCCCCAAGTATACAATTTCATTTACCTGTTCTAGACGTTCCTGATTTACCCATATTTCACATTTCGTTCTCTCTTCGTCCTTTTCAAATACCAGAACCTTAGTTTTATTAGCATTCAAACGGAGACCTTTAATTTCACATTCCTCTTTCATACACGTGACTAATTCCTGCAGTTCTGCTTCTGATGGTGCAATAAGCACTGCATCATCAGCATACAGCAGACAATTTACTTTAATGTCACCCAATTTCACACCCAAACAGCTATTTTTCAGCTTCTGTAAACAGCTGTCGAGATACAGTATGAACAGCCAGGAAGACATGACACAACCCTGTTTTACGCCCGCTTGGACGCTAAACATGGGTGACAGGCTTTTCGGCTACCCTCGTGTGATATTTGTCCCTAGTATCCGCTCCCTGAAGCTTCCAGCTTCGGATGCGACAGACCGACTGTGGTTCTGTTACTGCCGTCCGGTAGCGCCAACCCGCGAACAAACCCCTAAATCTAGTAATTACTAGATAGTGATCCGTTCCCAGGTCAGCGCCACTGAACACTCGTGTATCCATCACCTGTTTTCGCAGTCGGTCATCCACCAGGAACAAATCAATCATACTTCTCTCATTCTTTCTTTCTCTAGTGTACATATGGATTTTCCTGTGATTAAACATAGTGTTCGTCACAAAAAGACCCTTTTCCTTGCATACAGCCAGTATAAGTTTGCCAGCATCATTAACCCTTTTATCGCCAAACTTTCCAAGCACCGACTCGTATCCTGGTCGAGCGATACCTACCCATCCATTCAAATCACCACATACAACAGTTTTTTCGTTTCCCTTAACCAAATCTAGAACTTCTCTTACATTCTCCCAAAACTCCTCCAGCTCAGCCCTGGACGACGAAGCTACCGGCGCATAAACAGCCAAAAGGAATAACTTCGTCAGTCCCAGTTTAAAGCGAACCCAGAGAAGTCTTGAGTTCACAACCTTGTATTCAGTCATAAGATCGACCAACCGGGACGACAACAGCACCCCACTCCCTGGCAGGCGTTCTCGCTTTCCGGGACTCCGGACCATATAGCTAACGTCCCGCCAGGGAGCTCTTCAGTACCACTGCCTTTCCGTTTGGTCTCCGACATACACACGACATCTAATTCTCTTTCTTTCATTATTTCGATCAACTCATTCGTCTTATCTCTCATGCCCCCTCTAACATTCCACGTGCCAACTTTGCGCTTCCTGCTCCATTGGGATCTTCCAATGCTAATTCCTTCAGAAGACAATTAGTAGCATCTAGTTTATCTCTTCATCGATCCGTTTTCGTACCCATAACTTCTTTTTCTTAATCACACAAAATTTCTCATCCACCTCTTCTAAAATAGCCATTACGATTATCTTAATCGGTTTATTCACTCTATTGCGTTGCAGCCTGTTTCATCTTGTATAACACCACTTACTTGTGTACTGGGACCGTAATGCGAACGATTTCTGTGCAGTAGCGAGTAGTTTAGCCACTAAATTACACGCTACTCTACTAAATTACTATAGTAGTCCGAACTAGGCTTTAGTACGCAATATAGTTAGGCCGCAGAGCTCGTCTAGTAGAATAAGGCCCGCCACAAACACAGGGAATTCCGATTCGGGATTCCGAACGCAGCAAGTCTATATAAAATCAAAGTCCCGTCATACACCTGCGGTGGTTTTCCGTTTCCGTATACTTCTGTAATGTACGATGGGCCTTAATAGAATTTTTAGTTCTATTGGCTGCTTTCGTCAAGGTAACTCATTCTAAGACCGGAATTATGAACTCGAACCAAACGGTCTGATTCGTGGTTCGTGATGCGTGCAACAACGGAGTGGAATAATTTGCCAACATCTGTCTTTTCATCTGACTAGAATGTGGGTATCTTGAAGGCAAGAGTGAAATAGGCTTTGGTCAAATCGGCGCGCTTTGCCATTTCGGCTACTTCACCACTTACCATCAGTTGTGATAAAGTAGTGAAACAGTTAAATTAATTATAACACAGCACATAAAGAAGCATTTCCGCCCTGTGATGGCGGCATAAGAATACTCATTTGAGCGTCCTCAGGTTAAGAAAATAAAGAGAATAGCAGTCGAGATCAAATTTTATTTTAAAGCTGAATTTTTTTTAATATTTTTTTGTCGATTTAAATAAGTTATAATTGGAATGGAAAGTTAGAGGATAAATTTTAAATGTAACTATTTAGACGATGTTCTTCTTGAGCTTGTGAAATTCCTAAGTCCGCTGAAAATGGTCACGTATTAAACTTTTCAATGAAAAGTAAAAGCCTACAACGGCTTCAGAAGTAGGTGCTAAGACTTAATCTATAGAAGAATGAAAGCCCGAACTTCAGAAGTGGTTATGTCATTTACACAATTATTTTATTCTTTTTAGTTCTTTGGCTTTTACATTTAGTTTTCAAACAACTTCAAAAAAAAGAGGAGGTTCTCAATTCGACTGTATTTTATTATGTGTGTTACCTTTATACGTGGTAGAGCATGCTGCAGCTATATTAGTAATATAGCTCTAGCATGAATGAGTCGGCTTGACAGGGAAAGGACCATGCTCTCACAGAATACCAGCGTAAAATAGCAGCTTAACGCTACAGTGTTTCGTATGGTGAGTGTAGAGAACCAGAGACCCATTTTGCTGGAATCGATAGTTCGTAAGGACAGATAATGCATCTGCATTTTGATTCGTATTTGAAAACAGATGTAGATGTTTATTGACCACAGCAACTACGTACTATCAGGTGGACTGTGTGCTCGTTTGTGACCCTATCATACAAAAAAAGAACTTCGATGATGACGAGATGAACGGATTTTTATAAGTCTTTTTTTATATGTAAGCTGGTGCTTCTCATATAGTCCCATATAAATTTGATCGAGATCTGACCAGTAGTTTTTGATTTATCCATAATAATGCGTATTTAAGTTTGACTACATTGATAATGTTTTCATTTTATTTATATTGAAGTCGTTTGTATTTTCTTGTTACGAGTACGATTGTTTACACGGGGTTTTAAGCTTAATTGGAAAATTTAATTCTTATTAAATTTCTTGTTTATCAGATAACCAGCATGGTGGTGGACAGTGTGAATCGCGACGGTGTGGAAGATGGCTCGTGCCAACAGTCGCCGCCACACAACGCCGCAATGATGACACAGCATTGTAAGTGTAGCATGAGAATAAAATGACAGGACCATAAAAACATTAGAGATGGGCCGAATATTCGTTGCATATTCGATATTCGGCAGCTTTACCGAATATTCGTATTCGGCCGAATATTCGGCTAATTCACCGAACATTTGTCAAAGTGGTACTCAAAGTGTCCATTGTATTGAAATGTATGAATTGAGTAATGCCATATCTTTCATAATTTTACTGTTGAAAGTATATTTTATTTATGGGTTAAATCTACTTGTATAGCGTTATGTTTTTGAGGCACTGTAGATTTATTTCCAATTAAAGCAAGTTGAAAGCTTGATAAAATGTATTTTGGAATCAAACAAAGAAACATTACACTATATAAGTACATTTCACTTTACTTTGAGCCAGTTTCTCCAAAATAAGTACAAGTAGTAGATCACCTGCTACTCATTTTTATCATATAATTATCAATTTTCACTAAAAAATCAAGAAATACTTTTTTCTCAAAAAAATACTCAAAACATAAACATGTGCCGGTAATCTACTCAGTACTAATCTAACATGTCAGGTGTGGCGCGGAAGTGAGGAGCACGGCCCTGCGCTAATCATGCGCGCTTTACGGTAACAAGTTTTGACATAAGTTGGTTAAGTACCGAGGTGATCGGTGATGTTCGGCCAAATATTCGGTTCGGTAAAAGTTTTACCGAACTTTCGGCCGAATATTCGTATTCGGTGATATCGATATTCGGCCCATCTCTAAAAAACACGATAAAAATTCCTAAGAACATTGCTTGAGTTTCAATTAATTGGCGATACAAACACCGCTGTTGAGTCGTTAGTATATATACTGCATAAAGAGAGAATAAATCTAAAATAAATATTATCAACCTCAAAGGAAGAAAGATTCTCAAGTAGCAGCCTCGTTATGATAAGCGAACTGTAGGGCGGTTCGCCATAAGTGACGGCCTGATGAGAGATGCAGGAGGTCGATGGATGCAGGTGGCTCATGACCGTACTTTTTAACATTCCTTGGGAGAGATCTTTGTTTAGTAATGGCAAGTCCATTGACATATTAAAGGACTGTAATGATGAATTATGATAAAATCGATTATTGACTCAATAGGACCCCAGTACACAATCTTCTTCATCATTATCGTCCCGTATAAGTTTACTACTGGAGTCAGGCCTCTCCCATCGTAGAAAGTTTGTCTGAAGCGTCTCGCTTAGCAGGCAGATCAACGACCACAGCACCTTGCTCCTGCATCTTACATTTTGACGCTGGTGTCAGTCGTCGGCCTGAGTGTTTTACGTCTAACATATACCACCGTCTGATGGAATCCATAAAATCTCACTAGCATTTCGCCTCTTAGGTAAAGATTGTCAAATTTAAAATTGCACGCGTATCGCTTGTATTTTTGGTGCATTTTATCACTTTTATCATGTCTATTTTAGTAAAAATGCTAAAAATCTACGGGTGCGTTCGAGTATTACCATAAAAAACACCATGATTTTAAACGGCGCGAAAAGTAAGAAAATTGCGAACTCTCCTCTCCCCAAAATGATAAGACATAAGAATTTTTTCCTTTACTCAGGTGGTAGCGTAGAGTGAAATCAATTCTCGGAAAACACTTTTATATATTTTAGTAAGAAATATGAAAAACAATTCGGTATACCATTATAAAATAGTATATATTATTAATTATATTGAACCAACCCCCTCCCCCCTGAGCCTGCTTACATAATACTTGAATGGGGTGCCAGAGAAACGGCATGCAAATTTGGATATATACGGTAACAGCACAGTCTCACTATTACAACAGTCGGTCATCACAGGCGTCTAGACGGGCAATCAATCATGCGAGGAGAGACGCGGGCGGAGCTCTTTGTGACTTAGCAAATACACACACTACATATGCGGTGAAAAACTGTGGGTCGTTTTCATTTAATGATAAGTAATTAAAGTTTCATCAGTTTCCACATACAAAGAAATTTGTTCAAAGGTGAAATAAAATAAAATCTGTTTTTTTATTTATTTTTTTCCGCTTCCCGTTCTGTCAAAAGTAGCAATTTATTGTTTCTGTCGGCTTTTCCGACAACATCAAACGCGATGACTTACTATATGTTTTTCTTTTTTTTTTTTTATTTAATATATAAAAAATATATATATATTATTATAAAAATGCAGATGCGTTGTCACCCGTGAGGACTAAGATGGAATGCCTCGTTTCCACTAAAAAGGGTCTCCGGTTCTCTAAACTCACCATATGAAACACAGCAGCACTAAGCTACTGTTTCACGCTGGTATTCTGTGAGAGCGTGGTTCTTCCCCGGTCAAGCTGACCCATTCGTGCTAAAACTATACTTCAATACAATCTTTAAAATTAACCAAAAAATACAATCGCCTAATTGTTTTAAATTAGGCGATTTATACGTACGCTATTAAACCTTGTGGTGACAGCGAAATAGTCTTGTACCTCTCAATAGATGCCAAATATAAAATATCTAGACAGACAATAGGAAGCAGTTTCAAAGGTGCATCAAGTCTGCTTTGTCAACAATCCGCATGTTAAGCATGAGGGTAAGGTGACGATGTTAGTATGATAGAATTCCATATCTGTGTTGACTGTTCACGGTTTTATGTGGGTGGTGATAAAATTCAAACATGTTTACGCTTGTCGCAGCTGGCAGCCCGGAGATCCAGTGCCAAGCGGCCGTACCACCGGGCGCATTAATGCCGATGAGCGGCTACCACTCGCCTGGCACTCAGGAGAACAAAAGTACGGGTCTATTATATAACTTTCTCTTGTTGGAAATTCGATAGATTCGTTCGATACTGGATATCGGCTGTATGTAGGAAAACTTCTGTCCAATTAAAAAAGGGTCGAAATATTTTGATATGATCTTTTTTTAAATAAATTTACAGTCTACCTGATGGTAAGAGACTACTCCAGCACTTTGACACCTGGCACTAAATTCATTCAAAAAAGGCGACAACGCATCTCCTTGTCTTCTTTGAGGACCTAGATAAAATCCTCACAATCTGCAATTATACTGACTATACCATTCAGATTGAAACATATGAGCGATTTCTCGGCAGGAAATATACTGAATAAATTAGGTAATAAAAATTATTTTGCTAAGATCCGATCCTCAAAGACCTGAGCTTATTGGAATGCTGCAATATATAACAAAAATGTAATTAAAGTAGTATGGCTGCAATTGACACCTCGCAGAAGAATAAATGAAGGATCCTATGCGCATGTCAGTTCGCAAATATGAGTATTCAAAAAATTCACATTATTTTTTTTAAATATGTGTGTGATGCCAGTATTTTATATGCAAAAAGTTTACACAAATCTTGCACATTCGTGAGTGGTTGGCATTTGCATAAAATATCATTACCTACCTTCTCAGTTGGACAAAGAAAGACAGATGGAGCGCTGTGTATATTTCAAAAGGGGCACCGCATGCACGCACTTCTTTCTTTCCATCCGTAAAATTTTGCTGGGTGGACACATATGCGCATAAAACCATGATCGGTTGTAAATATTTTAGATGCGTATGTGTGCGTTAGTGCGTGTTCTTGGAATATGTTGACCACGGTTTTGACGTGGTTTCGACGTCATTTACGATGTACCTATCTATATTTCTTTGGTATGTGATTAAATAAATTTAAAAAAATTTTATCGTACAGCTGCAGGACTCTTGATGTGCTCGCCTGTGAACTCGCTGGACGGTTTTCTGCACTCACCTGTACAGCAGCGCTCCGAGTCAAGCTTCAAAGACGACACAAGGTAAGGCAGTAAGATGTAATAAGATAAATATATTATAGTTTTGGATGTAAACCACTTAGAACTGAACCTTCTATACAATCTTTTGAATAGAAGTGCACTCAGAATTTTATTTACAATGAGCTGTAAACGTAATAATATAATTATTATATTTTTCAATATTAATTATCATTTCCAACCTACCATCTATTCTCCACTCTTCTATTTATGATACTCTTAAACACGAACCTTTATTATGATTTACCATTTTCCTATTGAAGTATGTGTACATAAACTGTTAAGTGAATAAAATAATTAAAATGGTCACAGATACTAAACTTGTCTTACGGTCTACTACCAAAGTAGTTCCAAACGCCTATTAGACATTGAATAGGAAATATTTTATTCAGAATAGATTAAAGCATATTGTATGTTAAAAGACATTTTTATAATCGTTCAGATATTAATTTAGGACGTCTCCTTTTTTATTCATATTTTTGGATGTTAATATGCAAAATAAGAAATAAGCAGAGTCTGTCGTTAGAATCAAATTTCGCTCTTTACTGATCTTTAAAATACGATCTTGCCTTTATCATACTGCAGTCTAAACTGAATTAAATTTATATTTTTAATCTTAACGGGTTTGTTTTATCGAGTAATGAATTCGAATAATATAATACCACTATAATCACTTGCTAAGCACTAGCAATTTGATAGGAGAACACAGTCTACTGTTATATTAAACACCGGTTATCAGGTCCTGACAGTTACTTGGATATATAGTTAAAACTGTATAAGTGTGTATGATTTTTTTGTGTTTGTCTGCTTCTTTTTTTCTTGTTTGTTTTTTTTTTGCGCGGTACACCTCTATATGTGGCTCACTATAATTTTCCTTTTGTTGTCACGTTCGGCTTTTAAAAAAAGCGAGAGCATAAATCCGTTAAAACAGGTGAGGCTTCAACTTTATTACGAGGGCCTTTTCTTTTTTAGGTTCCAGTATGTACTGGCTGCAGCAACGTCCATCGCCACGAAACAGAACGAGGAGACTCTAACCTATCTCAACCAAGGCCAACCTTACGAGATCAAACTCAAGAAACTCGGTGATCTCTCGCACTATAAAGGCAAAATATTCAAGGTAATCGATCTCCTTTTAAAATATCAAAATAATAAATGAACAAACATACAATGGAGCACGCACAGACGCGCGCACTCACGCACGTACTCACGTACGGGTTCTCATTCAATTCTCATCAATCATTCGTTCACTAATCACATTTTATAAAAATACCACTGCTGATTATAAGCCTCCCTCTTATATTTCCTCATAGAGGAGATATTTGCCATAGTTGCCATGCTTGGCAGGCGGATTGCCAATCGCAGTTTTTTTTTAAATTATTTTGTGTTATTATCAGGAAGATGCTGCGGTCTCTTTTTTCATTTCCTTCTGTCGCCTCTATAAGACATTGTATTACCCCATAACGGGATGATATGGGGTAATACAATATCTTACACAGCCACTTCACGAAGATAGTATATATTTACGCACTCGCAGTGACAAACGCTTTAATTTGTAATGTTTGTAAACAGTTTAATATGCTTTTACAGCAATTAAGTTTTAAGTGAAACGAGACTACACTTATCTACGAGTAGCATATTAAACTTATCTAGCATAACATTTTTCTACCATGAAATATTATCAAAAGACATTGTAAAATATTTCAAAACTATTGATATTAAGTAGATCTATGGAGGATTCCCGTTAAGTTATTGCGTTTATAATAGATGAAATCGCATCCCAACTTGCTATTTTCTGGAATACTTGAAAGTTGAATCGGGTGTGCTCCCTGATTTAATGAAACATTCGTAAAGTTATATCTTTATTTAAATCTGGTAGTACATTTGAATCCACGAAGTTATAAAAATCAGGCAGACAAGAAGTCGCTCGACAACTGATGCCGATGTTGAGCTAATCAAACATATTTTCTGTGCGTGGGAGAATTCAGAGGATGCTTGTAGTATAATTTTATGATCTTTCCAAGGCTTTCGACTGCGTTCACCATGAGACATTAATCAGGAAGCTACATTATTATGGTGTAAAAAACATAGTGATTAAACTTAACTAACACCATATCAAAATAATAGAACGCAAACAGCTGTTATTAATGAGAGCAATTCTCCGTATCGGTAGTAATCTATTTGTATTCCTCAGGGTTCAATTCTTGGTCCCTTTCTGTTCTTAGTTTATATTAATGACTACCTTTACTTGGTAGAAAATAACCATAATTTAGTTTTATTTGCTGATGATACTTCATTGGTTTTCTCTATCTGGCGGCAGGGCAGTGTCCCCGCCAAGTCGAGCAAAAAAATCGGCACGGCTGTACTTATCCTTTTCTCGAAGCAGTTCAGGCAATTTTCGACCCCCCTATAACTTCATTGTGGATAAAACTAGAAGCCTGAATTTTCAGTAACCAAGCTGCCATTGTATAAACACGGCATTTTTTAAATTTCATTCAATTTTCATTTTTCAAAATTAAGAATTATAATTAGGCAAAGTTTCTTAATTTTGTCACTGACCGACTGACTGGTCATCAAAACTCTAAGGCGCTTCTAGCACACATAGAAGCTTCAGATTTAGAGTACAATTAGACTTTAGTGTATAAATAAAAAAACTAAAATATTTTACGATTTCGGTCCAGTTTTCTAGATACACCAACTGTCTAAATAACTTTGTAATCCCATATAAATATATAGGATTACAAAGTTACATTTGCAGTGAATGAATCAATGTACTTGTATCTGTGTAACATAATAGACTATTAGGTGTATAAGTACGTTGTTGGTATTCAAGAAGTAGAAGGTACCGGAGAGGGAAAATGTAGTATTATCTAGAAAAAGAAATGAGATGCCACCAAAAACATAACTTATAAAAAACCCTAGTCTCGCAACTCAGGTCTCCTACCGTAAAAAGTTATGATATCCATATAATACCAAGTCGGTTAATTTATTCAGTCCTTACTTAAGGGTCCTTCTGTCTTAAGCTATTACGTAATTAGCTAACCTAACAAAGTCTTATTGTGAACATATGAATATTAAAAATCTTTTATGTTTTAAATAAATAGATTGACCTAACACTACTACCATATGGTCACACTTTAATAATTAATATTTTTTAGAGCGTGATCAAGATTTGTTTTCACGAGCGGCGATTGCAGTACATGGAGCGCGAGCAGATCGCACAGTGGCACGCTGAACGGCCCGGCGAGAGAATCGTTGAGGTATGATTTAAGGATTTAAGGAAAGTTAAATATAATATAAATAAAGAATAAGTGAAAAGAGAATGAAAAATACGTTTTATCACCGCAGCGGACTCATTGGTATATTATTACGAAAGGTAAACGCTATGAAACTTATCTTTTCATTCTCTAGGAGCTTCTGCTATACAGTTTTGTTCTTAAATAATTTATAAAATGTAGCCATGAAGTCAAATAAAAATGAACACGCTACTTTGGACATTTAATATGGGATTTAGAAAAATTATGTACTTAATGCAAAAAAAATATTTATTTAAATCTATTTAAAATTAAAATGAATGACTAACTTACTTCTGTGACCAATTTCTAACAAAGAAATGCGTTATCACCTCTGCGGACTGAGACAGAATGCCTCGCATCCTGTAAATAATTATATTAGCTCTCTACACCCTTCAGACCTGAACACATCAGTACAAGAGCTGCACTAAAATGCACGTGATGTACAAAATATTAATAATAATAAATATGAATATAAATGTACAAATGTACAGATTTGAGTACCAATATTCTACTATTCATATCTGTAAAAATTACAATTTACTACTTGTAAACCTATGTACGTGCTGAGAATACGTGGGGAGGCCTATGTTCAGAAGTGGACTTGTGAAGGGCTGTAATGATAATGATGACTACTTGTCATGCTGTTCAAACTAGACTGATTTTAATCCCTAATATGTCGCGGTCTGTTGCTCACTGAACTACATCCTCCTCCGAAACGAAATCGACGACGAATACGAATCCTCCCAGTAAAGAATTTTGATTAATTTTCAAAATGGAAGTAGATCTTGACTGTTGTATGTATACAAGCACGATAATATTAAACTGAAATGTATTAAACATTTTAATTTCACAATTGTATTTATGTAAATGTAATGACAAAACAATTTTGTTTAGCTGTTATAAACTAGTATCTATTTTGTAGGTGGACGTGCCTCTATCGTACGGTGTGATCAGAGTGGAACATCCGGCAAGCCTAAACGCTCTCCATGTGTTCTGGGATCCGACCAAGGATGTTGGTGTCTACATCAAGGTAAATAATTCTATTGAGTTCTAACAAGATTTATTTTTCTACTAGTGGCGATTTAAATAAAGCAACTTTTTATTTAGACAGATATTAGACTTATTAAGACATCAATTCATTAACTTATGAATTGATGACGTCGTCATATAATCCATCATTCAGTTTTGTCCCATTGGTTGTAGTGGAAAGTGACTACGAGGACGCCCAAAAGGGTCCAATGGCCTCCGACAGATGACGGTATATCATCTCGTATATGCCAGATGTAAATTACCTTGTACGGTAACGGCAAGTAGCTATAAAAGTACGATTGTGTTGTATTGTGATTGCCAATAAACGTGCACAGCCATGAAGGCATTTTTCCTCGGAGAGAGACATGTTCAGCAACAAAATATTAAAAGCTGATTGAAAAGAAGAAGAAAGAAAACAGAAATTGATGGTATGCTTATTTTTCAGGTGAACTGCATCTCCACAGAGTTTACGGCTAAGAAGCATGGCGGTGAGAAAGGCGTGCCTTTTCGCATACAAGTTGAAACGTACCTCGCCAGTGATGACCTTACCCGTCTTCACGCCGCTGCGTGTCAGATCAAGGTACATATATAATTTATTACGAACATAGGTAAGTGATAACACTTGTTGATTTTTCAAAGGCTTTTAACATAGTTGAACACCATATCCTTCTGACTATCATTAAATATCTTGACTTCCATATCTAAAGTTGTTGACAGTTTTCATCCACCACGGTTGCCTGTAATGATTTCTTTCGGCATATCATAGCGTTTTTCGGTCCAGTCTAATATTTAATCTGGAGTGCCGCAAGGTAGTATGCTTTCTCCTATTATGTTTTTGTCTCAGTTATTAACTTTTCGTACCATCTGTGCACATATAACCTTTAGCTCTATGTGCAACGTCAAATTGGGATAACTAATTAAATTATATTTTATGCATTTTTATTGCTATCGAAACTAAAAATAAACAGGTTTGTAAATGGAATGATAATTTTGCATTTCGAAATTTAATTGATTCTTTATGTGGATTCGGACATTAAATTACTCAAGTAAAAGAAAATTTATAATAAGAGTAGACCAAATCAATGCATTTTTATATTTATTTGTATGATGGTGATAGAATTTTAGTGGGAACCACGCTCTTAACCATTTCTTGTATCTGTTGTATCTGTTGCCGTTTAAAAAGAGGAAGAATCAATAAAATTTAAGACTGGTACTTTTTTACTTGGTAGAGCCACGCTGCAGCTACATTGTAGCTGTAGCACGATTGGGTCAGCTCGACGGGGGCAGGACCTCGTTCTCACAGAATACCAGCGTAAAATAGCAGCTTCATGCTGCTGTGTTTCGTATGGGGAGTGTAGAGAACCGGAGAACCTGGAATCGAAGCATTCCATCTTAGTCCTCAGGGGTTACAACGCATTTGCATTTTGATAAATGTGGATGTCTATGGGCTACAGCATCCACTTACCATCAGGTGGACTGTGTGCTCGTTTATTACCCAATGTTATAAAAAACACTAAGAAGGCATTTCTAATTTGCTTTTATTTTATTAATTGATTTTAATTTGATTTTATTTGAATTTATGTTATTAATTTCATAAAATGTTATAAATAATTATTTCAATGTCATATAAAACCCGCCAGTTTGTGCTGAAGCAGCATGTCGGATCTTCTCTGCTGATACCTTTATCCAGTCTGTTTTTATTTTGATAACGAGTTGGTTAAAAGAGGATATACTGATTGTAAATAATTCGCAGGTGTTCAAGTTGAAAGGAGCAGACAGAAAGCATAAACAAGACCGCGAGAAGGTGATGCGAAGACCTCGTTCCGACCTCGAGAAATACCAACCGGGATGTGAGGCCACCGTGCTTACTACGGTGAGAGATTTTTAAACGAAATACTAATAATTATCAACATTAAACTGACGCTTGGACCGTTACACACATTTGCATGGGGCTCCATCGAAGATGTGTATTTTCTCAATGTTACTAGGTACAACGTGGTAGAGCCACACTGCAGCTATTATGGTTGTAGCACGAATGGGTCGGCTCGACCGGGGAAGGACCACGCTCTCAAGGGTGACTACGCATCTGCATTTTGACCTGAAGCGAGGTTAAAAATGTAGATGTCTATGGGCCACAGCACAACATCAGGTGGATTGTGTGCTCGTTTGTCACCCTTATACTATAAAAAAGGTGTCTCGGAAATGTCACTACCACTATTTTTCTTCCACTTCGACAGTTGTCCATTTTCTGCATACAGTCTTGGTTCCGCTCAATCACTTCTTCGATACAAACCGCATTGAATATGTATAAGTCTGGTCACGTGTTTTGGAGAAAATATGTCTGTTCTGTAGCCTACATGTTCATAAAGGCCATTATTCAAAGACAATCTCGAGTTTGAACTTAAATTCCACAATGTCAAAATTTGAGTCCAGTTCTATTCCAGACTGTACTCCACAAATTATGACATTGTGTAGTCGAGACGACAGGGATAGACGTGTCTTGCATAATTTAGTTAGCTATTTTATTTTTTGTCAACAGCTGTCGAACGACGCTCTTATGCCGCCGCCATCACTGGTCACGACATCACCGCCTTACTCACCGGAGCTTTGGTAAGTTTAATTTCACCCTTTCCAAATTTAGCTTGAATTTGGCTTATTTAGTACAGCCGACCTTTGTCGATTTTTGTTGTACTATCAAGATACTTAGAAAATTTATACTAATAACCATGCTCAACAAATAAATAAGCAAGCACAGTATATGAGGTCTTGAATTCTTGCTTGCTTCGCTACTCTAGACATTTTACATCGACAATCACGTTCGAGATGGCTACCGTCTTGATGTCAAGATGTCTGTATTATCTTTCGGTAATACAGATATTTTGACATCTCCGTTAGTCGCTTATTGCAACAGCCTCGGCATGATGAATGCTGCCATCAAAGAGTGCACTCGAAATACCTTCCTAGTGAAATACTGGATAGGCTTTTTTTCAAGTTGTAGCAAATATAATACAACACAGATTTCAGACACTACGATTATTTAATAAAGGAGAACTTTATACAAGAAAAGAAATTAACCAAAAAAAATCTTACCTATAAATTAAAATCCTACTATGTTCGTAGATATAAATTATAATGTGTAAATAGCTGCTGCTCAATCTTGCATGATGTAAGTATTTTAAAATATACAATATCTAGCTGAACCGACAGACTTTGTTCTGCCCTTTTTCATACTCCGAATTTACTCCAAGCTTTTCACAGCGTATTAATAATAACTTGGCCACAGTTTCTTAGATTTTTTAACGTTTTCTTGCGTAACGGCCGTTGTTGGTCGCCCGGAGCAAGTATCGTCATTGCAGGCGGTTCTGCTGCGTTTAAATTCAACGCGCCAGTGTGCCACTGTAGAATAAGACGCAGCATTTTCTGCCAAAGTGATTGCAGTTATTCAAAAACATTTTTTGTAAAAAAAAAAATCAGGCAGAAATATTTGATAAACGCACAATGTTCGAGTTTCTCCATTTTGCATACGAATCTAATTCCCGCCAAATGTGAAGTTTAAAAACATTGGTTACTATTTTTTAATTTAGCTTTTTCTGGCCTTGGCTACTAACGAATCTAAGATTCGAAAAAATAAAATAGAACGCATTTCTATATCTACAGAAGGCAGGAAAAAGCGCCAGGAAGCGCTTGTAAACAAAATGGCGAAACTATACAGTTTTCGGTCAGGACACGTTTGCTAACTTCAGTAGCGATAACACAATCCGCCATTTTGCTTATTTATTTTGTTGGTTTCGAAGTAGCGTTTATAAGTTGTTTTGTGCAATTAGTTTCAAGTAATATAATGACATGAATTATTATACCTTTAAACAAGCAATTCTTGTATGGCAATAAATCGATCTAGCTAGGATTTATTTTTAGAAAATGTCTTTTTGTTCGTGTTTTCAGGCAATAAAAAAACTGCTACAATATAAGAAGGTAAATTTTGATAGATTACTAACGATCGTAATAGCTTGGGTGGGATGTTGGTGGGGCGTGATATCGGAGTTCCGTGGTTCGTGTCCCGTCTTGGGTCGACTTTTTTTCTTTTTTTTTTCAAATTCCCTTCTTTTGTGAGAAAATCTATTATTTCGAGCCCCTTTTTTTTAGTAATTTTCAAAAATAAGAAAAATTTTAATTAAACTAATTGCACTCATGATTTTCATTCAAATAACCAGTTCAGTTTTTTCTATTATGTCAATAAGATCAAAAAATATTATTCATGTAATTTGTATGTAAATGTAAAAAAAAAAACGAGCAAAGCTCGGTCATCCGGGTACTAAACATATTATACACGTTCTTAAAAATTCATGATTGGTAAGTTTTTAACATGAATACTTTACAAACATAATATATTTAAATTAGGTTAGGTTCCCCGGTTAAAGCTAACTTAGTGTCCTAGAGGAAAATAGCTATTTACCATTTGACACCGCTTACCGCTTACAATCGCCATTTTGCTTACAAGCGCTACCTAGCGCTTTTTTCTGCCAAACACAGCCATTTGGCCATAAACATTTTTAAAAAAATTTCCTGTCCGTCCATGATTTATCAGTTTCTTCGTATTTGTTGTTACTGCGTATTTCTAGAAGCACAGCTAAAAATTTTTTAATTGAAAATAAATTTATACAATTACTTTCAGTACAACTAGTAGAGCTGTTGGTTTTTAGATTAATTACTATTATAGTCAAAATTAATGTCTCTTTCAAAGTCATACATAATCAATTTTTTTGTTTTTTCTACCACTTTTGCCCAATCATCTTTTGTGACATTGGCACCTGCTTCAACGAATATAGGAGAAACAGTTAAAAGAAGAAAAAGATAAAGCCTAGTCACAAAATAAGAAGACAAACACAAAATCACAATATTACGCATGGTAAGCTTCCGAAATTGCGGGTGATTGAAATTACGTAGTGGTTTTTCAGCGCGGCCTTGTATATGAGTTTTTTTGCCTACACAAATTTACGTTGACAAAGTTAAAAAAAATAAACTTGTGTTATTCATGATTTATGTAATTTATTTATTTATTTATTTATTCTTTTTTGTACACCACAATACATGTAAGTTAAAGGATTTTAAAAATAAAAATTTAACTAAACAAATAATTAAAACATTATTGAATCGATTATTTGAATATTTTTGTCGATTATTCGCAAAACAATGAATTTTAATCATCCAAACACTACGGCAAGTAACATACCGACGTATCATTGAAACGACGTCAAGTAAAAAAGTTGATACTGGTTATTCTTTTAATATTTTGCTTTTTTTGAAAGATTTGAATTTAAATTAATGTTAAAAAACTATACACGTTGTAATGAAAAATAGATGACTTCATAATTCTTCGGATTTACGTAAAACTCGGCTGGGCAGCGTTCGGGAAATTACGACACATCTTCTCGTCAGGTATAACTAAAAACCTGAAAACTAAGTTTTACAACCAGTGCGTGTTGCCACTGATGACCTACGGAACCGAGACGTGGTCCTTTACTGCTGGCCATATGAGGACGCTCAAAGTCGCTCAGCGAGCTATGGAGAGAGCTATGCTCGGGGTTTCTCTGCGTGATAGACTCAAAAATGAGCATATCCGCAGTAGAACCAGAGTAACCGAAATAGCCCAACGGATTAGTAAGCTGAAGTGGCAATGGGCCGGCCATATAGCTCGAAGAACCGACAACCGATGGGGAAAAAGGTTCTCGAGTGGCAGCCTCGTACTAGTAGGTGAAGTGTAGGGTGACCCCCCACTAGATGGAGTGACGACCTGGTAAGACATGCAGGAAGTCGATGGATGCAGGTGGTTCAGGACCTTGCTTTGTGGCATATCTTGGGGGAGTTATTTAAAACCGTGTGAGTACGCTCGTACAAAGTTATTGCGGAATGATTAATGTGAAACGTCAAAAGGTATTTCTTAGATATGGTTGACTATATTGCCATTTTTAGTGTAGATGGATAGAAAGCAATGCCAGGAATAATATAGACTGTATTTTATCTAAAACACTTGAAGGATTTTTTTAGATATCCAAATATTAATAAATTAAATGGTTTTGATGATGATTACCTGAAATCTGAATAACGCCACATTAATAGACCTTACTCAGGCGAAACCGGTCGCTAGTTTATCATAAAACGATTACCGTTTGATTTGGAAAATCAGTGAAGTATCATCAGCATATTATACTAAGTATACATTATGGATGCCTCGATACGCCTCTCTGCCGATACGATACTGATACCGATGCTCTTATAAAAATATCGGCGATGCCGATACCGATACGCTTATTGAAATCAAAAATGAAGGTAAAATAAATAAAACACTAGTCAGATTTTTTTATTTATATAAATATAACTAATAACAAGACAAACTAAATAAAACCATTTAAAACTATAGACATTTTCGTTTGCAACGAAATAGACGAGTTAACACGCGCGTTTATATTATATTTTTGGGGCGCGAAATTTGAAAAGTATCGTTGAATCGGCCGTCTAAATATCGCCGATGCCGATATATCGGCATGCTTCGAGTATCGCCGTTACATCGGCATCGGTATCGGTATCGGTTGCATCCCTAGTATACATATACTAAAAACAGAAATAGGCCGTCAATTCAGCTCTGAGGAACGGCGATTGTTACTATTGACCACTTTATACCCAAGACTTGTATATCGTTGATAACGACGGTCTGTAACTCATGTATGAAATAATAAATCTAATATTTTTACACACTGGGAACACAATAAGTCGTCTGAATTCTCCCCTCAATTTAAGTGAACTAGGGATCACTCGACAACCGACGCCTCGGTTGTCTAGTGATCCCTAGTATACCAAATACAATTTAATAAAGCAATTTATGTTCATTTAAAACTTAACGCTTAATATGTTAGACCAAACGATATCCGATATCCGGGCTGCAAGAAATATTAAGAATAGGTTTTTAACGGTCTATTACTATCGTTTCGTCCTCTCTCGATGTCATGCTACTCGTAAGTGCAACCTGGCTACACCTCGAGCTCTGATCTCGGACTGATTATACCTATGAAAAATTAACGAAATCTTTATCATTATGGGTAATTAAAAAATCGATTAAAAATCCTCAGACAATATAAGAATAATGGAGGCAACGTATGAATATTTTTCTGTTATGTTTTATATTCGTTAATTTCTTTTCCCAGATGTCTTATACTTGTGCAGTTTTAGTAATTTTAGAAGGTTGCAAGTTTTTAAAATACCTACTATATTTACGAATAAAAATCATATAAACATCGCAGTGGTAGATAGATATTGATTGTACCGTAAAAATATTTGCTCCGCTGACATTATTGAGGAAAAATTCTTTTCCCCCCCCGGGGGTTGGGGGGGCACAAAGATTTTTTGTTATGAATACTTTTTTTTTTTTTTTTTTAAATTTAAAACATTAAAAATAAAAAAATAATTCTTTTTTTTTTTGTTGTTTGGTTTTTTTTTGCGTTTTTTTTTGGGGGGGGGGGTTTTAATCGTACGGATTGAATAATAATAGGAGCATAAGTGGGGGCAGCACAGAAATTGCTTATATTGGATTTTTTTAATATAAAATAAGGTGACAA